AAAAATTAACACTAATTATAGAAAGACGAAAAAAGGATAGATCGTTTCCAGACGCACAAATCTATTCCGAAAAAAAAATATTTTCTCAAATTTTAAACTAGTGAATTTATGATGGCAATTTTGAATGCATACCCTTGTTGGTTTTCTGAAGTGCCTTGCATAGGCCCATCTATCCAGGTTTCCCTTTTCTTGATATGGCAAGGTTCTTTTATTAAATGTCTTGCTTCGGCCACTTTACTTTTGGATATCCTACAAAAATAATTATAATATATACCGGGTGTTACATCGTCGGACGGGATATAGGAAATCCCACGTAAATTTTAATGGGGTCAATTATTGGCTTCCCTAAATATTTTAGAGAATAATTCTATTTAGGTTTATTGAAGAGCTCTAAAACCCACATTCAAAAGAATAACTTTAGATATTTTTGATTAGCTCGTTTACGAGTTATCGCCGATTTCTTTTTAAATATTTCTCCTTTCTTATGGCCCTGTATTTACTTATGTGAGCACCAGTCAAGGTAAAAGATAACTGTCAAATGAAGTTGTCATTCACAAATTTACCTATTTAGTGCTGTATTATTAAACTCATTCTACATCGGAAATTTGCATGTATTTATAAATACAAATTAATATGAATTAAAGTAAAACAAAGTAATCAATTACAAGGTTAATTATAGTATTATTACAATATTCAATAACTTATTAATTTAGGTACTATTAAGTTGTTAGAACTTTAGATTTAAGAAGATGTTCAAATATTCCTCCATCGACTGCTAGACAATAAATCAGGCGATCATAAAATTAATTCTCTTCTTATATTCGCTAGTTGGTAAACTGAAATTTTATTGTATTCGGCAGAAATAGCATTTTTAACTCTTCTAGATTTGGGTATTTTTATCCTTGTATATCCTGGTTTTTAAATGGCCCCAGAGAAAGAAATCATCGAATATCAGGAGACCTTGCTGGCCAATTTACTGCATGATTTAGGCCAATAACGTTTCGTTAAAACTATTGTCAAAATATACCCGAACAGCCAGGCTACTATGTGCCGGGCAGCCATCCATTTGGTACCAAACTTCCTGATTTTCCCTAGCGGCATCATGTAAAGCAGGTAAAATATGATTTTCGAGTAGTTCCCAATAATATTCTGCATTTAAATTTCGCGTAAGAAATAATGGCCCGATAATATTGTGTCCGAATATCCCTGCCCAAACATTTAGAAATTACGATCTTTATTTCATTTTACGGGGGTTTTACGATAACATCTACATACGATACTAACCAAACTTCCTGATTTTCCCTAGCGGCAGAGGCGCAACTAGACATATACTTTTGGGGGGGCTCAAGTCTTTTGGGGGGGCTTAGGTCATTATAAGATAAGATTCATGTGAGGTTAAAATCAATTTTATACGACACGCACCGGTCGACAGGGGGAGCTAAGCCCCCCTGGCCCCCCTTAATTGCGCCTCTGCCTAGCGGCATCATGTAAAGCACGTAAAATATGATTTTCGAGTAGTTCCAAATAATATTCTGCATTTAAATTTCGCGTAAGAAATAATGGACCGATAATATTGTGTCCGAATATCCCTGCCCAAACATTTAGAAATTAATATTTTGGCTTCATTTACGGGGTTTTACGATAACATCTACATACGATACTAACCAAACTTCCTGATTTTCCTAGCGGCAGAGTAAGCAACTAGACATATACTTTTGGGGGGGCTCAAGTCTTTTGGGGGGCTTAGGTCATTATAAGATAAGATTCATGGGAGGTTAAAATCAATTTTATACGACACGCACCGGTCGACAGGGGGAGCTGGCCCCCCTTAATTGCGCCTCTGCCTAGCGGCATCATGTAAAGCACGTAAAATATGATTTTCGAGTAGTTCCAAATAATATTCTGCATTTAAATTTCGCGTAAGAAATAATGGACCGATAATATTGTGTCCGAATATCCCTGCCCAAACATTTAGAGATTACGATCTTTATTTCATTTTACGGGGGTTTTACGATAACATCTACATACGATACTAACCAAACTTCCTGATTTTCCCTAGCGGCAGGGGCGCAACTAGACATACACTTTTGGGGGGGCTCAAGTCTTTGGGGGGGCCTAGGTCACTATAAGATAAGATACATGTGAGGTTAAAACCAAATTCATACGATACGCACCGGTCGATTAGGGAGCTGCCCCCGGCCTCCCTGGGTCAAGCCTCTGCCTAGCGGCATCATGTAAAGCACGTAAAATATGAATTTCGAGTAGTTCCAAATAATATTCTGCATTTAAATTTCGCGTAAGAAATAATGGACCGATAATATTGTGTCCGAATATCCCTGCCCAAACATTTAGAGATTACGATCTTTATTTCATTTTACGGGGGTTTTACGATAACATCTACATACGATACTAATCAAACTTCCTGATTTTCCCTAGCGGCAGAGGCGCAACCAGACATATACTTTTGGGGGGGGCTCAAGTCTTTGGGGGGGGCTTAGGTCACTATAAGATAAGATTCATGTGAAGTTAAAACCAATTTTATACGACACGCACGATTAATCTGGGGGGCTAAGCCCCTGGCCTCCCCTAATTGCGCCTCTGCCTAGCGGCATCATGTAAAGCATGTAAAATATGATTTTCAAGTAGTTCCAAATAATATTCTTGCATTTAAATTTCTGCGTAAGAAATGGACCGATAATATTGTGTCCGAATAATCCCTGCCCAAACATTTACTTTCTGTGATATTGCGTCCTTGTTTCGACTAACCTGTGTTGGTTTTCTTGTTCCAATATCGATAATTTTGAACATTGGTTCATCACTTAAGGCAAACGTGCATTCGTCAGTCAGAAACATATGTTTTTTTTTAAAAATTCCCTTATCCGTGTTTGCTCTTTCCATCATATCAAAACGAAACGCCTGCCGCCGTATTTCGTTCCCATCTTGTAGCTCTTGGTGCTTTTCATTTTTGAAGGAATAGTATTTATGTAGTTTCAAAATTGAAACGCTGTAGTGTGATCTATTCCTATTTCATCCTCAAGCTTTCTTGTGCTGATCTTTCCATCGTTCCCTTCCACGCACAATAAAACTTCCAAGTCGGTAATATTTCTTGCATCTTCTCTTTGTTCCTGCCTTTACTTTCATCTGCAGTTATTTATTAGGGTACCTTGGTCTCAAATTCGATATTCCTTGCGATTGTAGATTTTCCAGGTATCGGCCTATTCTTTCGAAAGATTAAGAAGGAGCATATCAAAATCTTAGGTACACCGATGGGCCTCAAATATGGCCGAATTCCGGTTTATCAGTGTCGTCTAATTATTTAAAAATGTAAACTATGATGTAGGTAGACGTGGGGTGACTCAATAATTGTTGTTTTATTTTTACGTTGTGAATAAATGTTGGTAGTTATTAAAATTGTTATAAAAATATATAATTCTAATAAAAATAGATAAGTTATAATAAGTATTTATTAACACAAACATCCGATACTCTACTGAAGCAGGAAAGTCAAATTAACGTATCTAAATTCTTTTGACATCTAATCTTTTGGACAAGTAATAAATAAAAGCTAAATGCAAGAAAATATATAATTTAGTTAATTTAAGTGAATTTCATAAATGATCGGTTTACTACCCGTATGTATATTATATAGTCACTTACTAGCGAAAAGTTTTTCCATTATTTCACTCAATTCTTTTGCCGAGATCTACCGCACGCCACACAACCAACTATTTTAGAGTCTTTTCGATAAATCATGATAGTGTCACTGTTAATTAAGTTCTGCCACAATTTCATCTAGGATTTACTACCTTATACAACTATCAGTAGAATAAATAATAAATAACATAAAATAAGTTCTGTAAAGACTGACAAATCCACAAAATTTCAAATCAAATTCAAATGTGTCAAATGAATCGTCAAACAGAACTGTCAAGGATCCCCACCCTAGAGAGCTTTTATGGTGGCTTTTCCGCCCACCATGCATGAATACATGGATAGCATTATGCTACTTCTTTAGTCTTCTTATTCAAAGGTCTATTCGGATACAGAGCAGCAAACATGCCCGACACCTTTTGATTACTATTTCCTTGATAATACCATTTAAACAATACTTTTCTTCTCGGCAGTGTAATGTGGCTTATTACTATTTTCGATGTAGTTATGAAGCTAATAATAATAATAAAGCACTAAATAGATAAATTTCTGAAATAACAACTTCATTTGACAGTTATCTTTACCTTGACTGGTGCTCATAAGCAAATACAGGGCCATAAGAAAGGAAAATATTTAAAAAGAAATCGGCGATAACTGGTAAACGGGCTAATCAAAAATATCTAAAGTTATTCTTTTGAATGTGGGTTTTAGTGCCCTTCAATAAACCTAAATAGAATTATTCTCTAAAATAATTAGGGAAGCCAATAATTGACCCCATTAAAATTTACATGGGATTTCCTATGTCCCGCTCGACGATGTAACACCCGGTATATAGGAACGCTGTGTATACATAGGAACTTTTTCTTCTCATTTTATCTCTAGCATCACCCACTAAAGTTTGGTACTATATTTTCCACCCGGTAAATCTTAAACCTTACCTAGGTCCATCAATCCACTGCTCATCACTGGCACCATTCACAGGGTGTTTCAGTGTTTCCGCTGCTTTTTTTATCGAAGGTATTCGACTGGGAGATGACTTTGGAGAACTTGTATGTGCTGGAGATGTTTTGGCACTTTGTGATGGTGTTTTTAACTGTCTATGACTGAGTTTTTCTGGATCTCGATCAAGCTTAGGAGAGGATTTCGTAGGCCGCTGTTCTGCAGATGAACCTGTATATAAAAACAACAGAAATATTATTCATCTAAAAGATATAAAAAGTGTATTGAATAATTTTGATTTTTTGTCAACAAAGCAGGCAATTAAATATGAATTTTAAATACAGGATGTCCCAATACTCCGAGAACATAATTATTCTACTACGTATTTTTGCAATTAAAATATACGGAGTAGTTCTAGGTCCACAGACTATTGGGAAATCTTGTATATTTGACAACTCATCAGTGTTTACCGAAAAACTATCACTCCCAGGTCATTTAATGCAAATAAAGATATTAAATTCAGTTACCTCGAAGTGCTTTGCTCATCGAACACCTGTTGTCTCCTGAATTTAAGCTAGGGATATAGACAGGGGGATGTTCTCCATCAGTAGCATCGTCAGCTCTACCAACATAGATCACCGTATCAGCTGATAAATCACTGCTGGAAGGATCCGGTTCGCTACTGGTTCCAGTTGTCCTAGCTTGTTCTTCACCTGAAGAACCACCTAATAGTAATAACAGTGATAATTAACATAGTAATCACATACAACCACAGTATAAGTGTGTAAAAAGGTTATTTAAAAGTTATATGATAGGGCGAAAATAAAATAATATGTTCAGATGACAATTCACTAAACATAGATATAAACCACCATCTTTTAATGACAAAACATTAAAAGAAATACAAACCCCAAATCATAGACAGAATACACACAATGATAACTATATACAACCACAGATTAGGTATCCTATAAGTATACAGATAAAAAATCTTGTCCCTAATTCGTGGTACGAAAATTGACGAAGTGCAAACGAGTCAAATTTCCTGTGCGCAAAAATAAACTCGCGTAAAATACAATAAACAGCGTAATAAAGAGATATCGTAACCGAATAGCGTTCATGGACGTTAATAAGGCAGGTGTTATTTCCTTTAAATGAGGTGGTATTAACTCTACATTTATAGTTATCGGATAGGAAAGAATTCTGATCGGTTCCATCGCGTCGTATTTAAACGTTAAACTAATTTTTGAAATTGTTTTGATTACTAGGTATTTTGAAACTAAGGGCTAAAGTGCTTATTCCAGTGCTTTATTGTTAAACGTCTGCCAATGGGTTAAGGGCAACAAGCAACAAAATCTCTTAGAAGAGGGCTAAGTCGTCATCTACTGTAAACCTAAGACTCTTTATAGGTTCTTTAGTATTGGAGGAGGTGGAACTTCTATTTCTGGCCATATTTATTTAATTAAACTATTTTTTTTTTTTTTTTTTTTCAAATATTCTAATAAAAACTAAGCAGATAATCAAAATACTCTCAAACATAACCTTAAAATAAAGATCTCGCGGCCGGACTCTCTCAATACCCGCACATGCCCAATTTAAGTCATGTTTAAAACAGTTCTTCAGAGGTTATTTAGACATAGCGGCTTGGTGTTAATTGATCGGAACCGTCAGCGGTACGTTAATTAGGCGGGTGTCGCGTTGACTTCGCGCGATATCGTGGACCATTGATAAGGTCTACGCGCAAATACTGGGATGAGCTATTCCGGTTTTCCGATATCTCTCAAATAACTGTGCCGGTCAAACGCTGTGCAGAATTTTAGAGGCCATAAGTGGCGTGCTATGTGCGCAAAATAGTAACCTAACTAGTGCCCGATTTCGAAAATTGGAACCACTAAAACAATAAGAAAACAACACGATTATAATCTGTATAATTGTGATAACAACTCAAAATTCCTACATTACGAGGCCGGTTACAACTATACACACTGGTTCTTTATTATGATTCAAATAAAAATATTATACTTGTAAAATTAGTTATTTGTTAATGGCATAAAGCGTTTCTGTTTTCAAAATCATTGAACAACTAAATCATTTCCATTGACCCAGTGACGTACCGTGACTTTGAATTTTGGGACCAAAAACTGAAACAATAATTTGTTCAAACAAAATATATTACAGCTTAATATTTTTTATTTTGTATGAAAAATGTGGGGCTAAACTTAAAGATAGCAATAATTATAATTTTTCCCTAACTAAGTGGTTTTAATCGTCGTTTGTAACTAATCAAAATCTTAATACGATATATAAAACCAAATACTAAAATCGTCGCAAGACTATGTTGTTAGCATTCATGAACTAGATTAAAGTTAAAACATTTTTAGAAATAATAAAGAAAATGTTAGTTCATTAATTATTAATTTTTTTGTATACTGCTCATTTATCTGGTCTTCTATCATATATTTTGGAAATTTAGAGAGATTACCTGAAACTTGTTCATCTAAAAACAGATTGGCATTTGATAAGTGGTGCGTGGATCACCTTGATAAGTTTGTCTGAATGTGCTCCCTGAAAATGATCCCGGATATTTCAAGAAAATATAAAAAGTGCTGGAATGAAATAACTATTCATAATTGGCTTAGGACCAAAGTTGTCTGAGTCTTATGCTAACATTAAAAGCCTCTTTGAAACGTTAGATCTGCAGTCCATATGTGGAATTTGTCCTATACTTTTGCCGCTTACTTTAAGCTTATTATGATTCTCCTTGGTCTTCACTCAAATTCATCCACTCACACATGCCCATGAGATGATGTAAATCGCTATAAAGGAAATGGAATTTAAAGGATCATTCAGAACTATAAAAAAGTCATTAACAGAAAAATGTACAAATTATATAGGGCAACAATTTCGTGGAGGAAAACTCAGTCCAAAGATTTTTAGTAGCGTTTTTGTTGAAATCATTTTTTTGTATTTTTTAAAACTGTGTTCATATGAACATATAAAAACAGAGATATATCTTCTCTACGAAACTGTATAAACATACCTTTAATCAATGGCGACGAAGAAACACCTGTCTTAAACTATATTCCACCTCCTGAGCTTCACCTTTTGTTAGGTGTGGTTCAAAACTTTTGTTGTCTTGAATTGGAGATACCAACTGTATGCACAGAATGTGATAAAAAAACGGATTGAAAACTAGATCATTATGGAAAATTTAACGGAAATAACGCCAGACAACTTTTAGAACAGAAATGGAATTTTGAAGGAAAAACTTACTATAAATAATAAAAAAAATATTCAAAGTTTTTAGAAGCAAAAAAAAACAAAAAATATTTTTTTGTTAGAAATAAATATATTGGAGTGTTTTCTGCATTCAATCAAGTAGTTTCGAGTTGTTTTGGTCAAGCATTAAACAAACATTTTGAACATGACATCGAATTAATTACGATTGGGAAATATCTGAACTTAGGTATTAAGATAACTCCGAAGATTCATGCAATTCTGGATCATGTGCTAGAGTTTATAAAAGCAAATCATAGAGCTCTAGGATTTTACTTAAAACAAGCATCTGCGAGCAGGTTCATTTTTCCTTTAAATTATTTCTAAAACAGTTTAACATGAAATCCTGTTCAGAATGCTACAACAATAGTTCTATTACGTGTATTCTGTTGTTTTATTTCATTAGATGCGAGTAATTTCACGCCACTTTGCTGTTTTAATTTAACGCTTTTAAGTCACAAATTTAGCCATAACCACTTAGTCTAGACGGAACGCGAATATCATAATTACTTTCTCAATATTAGTTAACCATTTTATGCTATTAAACACCTATTAGCTGTAATATCATTTCTTTTTGCGAACAACTCTCATTTGGTCAGTTCTCTTGACTCTCACACTTCAAAGTCACGGTAACGTTCCACTGGATCTATGGACACATTATTAGTGGTTCTATGTTTTTTTTAAAGATTTTTTTTTTTTTTTTTTAAATTACTTAAATTTAACTGTATATATTTTTTATTTTGAATCATATAAAAACCGAACAGTGAACATACGAACATCTTTCAAAACACAAAATACACTTAGATCCATTTTAACACACACACACACTAAACCTAATGAACACTGGACAATAAAACAAAATGCTAATGAATCAAATACTTTATGTGAAATGTGATACAATTATCTATACTGGTGGAAAAATCTAGACCTTAATTACAGCAATAACTTCTAGCTACGCAGCTTGCCGTAGCTAGATGATTTCTGGTGCTTAAATGTTCGACTATTTAAAAGAGAACTCTCAATTTAATAGAGGGATAGATTTTCACAAATCTAAGATTTGTCGGCATTCATGGAACACAGGTCACAGGGTAGATTTTAACAACGCAAAAATTATAATGAAAGAAGCGATAGCCTCTAAAAGGAAAACAAAAGAGGCTTTTTTAACAACAAACAACGGTTTATATTGATATAAAAAATAAATGTTATTTTTAAGGTTCTTTTTAACACCCTGTATACGCACCTGATCCATTTCCAGCAGCCGTCGATACAAATTTAATCTTCCTCCTCCTCATTCGATGTATCCTCGAAGCCAATTGAACCGTTGTCAATGTTTCCGCATAGTTCTGCGCAAAAGGTGACACATGTACGATCATAGCTGCGTGACACGTCAAAGAACTGAGACAATCTAAAAAAAATATTGAGAGGGTTAGTTTGTGGAGACTTTTTTATAGAGTTACAGACCTTTAAGAAGATGGGTTAGCTTGTGTTCCTTGTAAGGAAGGTGTTTCTGGCCGTTGAAAATTGCTAGAAGTATGTTTCCTACTCCCGATAGAGGGATACCACCGCTGGCTTTGCCTCGTTCTGAATTGCCTAGGTCGATCAAATGTAACCTTGAGCGACCTCCTGCAACTAAATTTAAACAGAGATTATTACGAGCCCTAACAACTATATGTTGGGACACGGTCTTTTTTTGCAATAAAATAAAAAATAAAAAAAAAAAAAAAAATTATTTTGTTTATTTTTTAAATTCAAACATACAATATGATTAGACAATTTTACTATAACTTTGCAAACAAATCACTTTTGATAATAGCTTATTTTGCCAAAATCAGGCCAAATTTGCTGACAAACTATATATTGGGGCAGCACAACAAGAAATTTGTTTATACCGGAGTTTACCACCTTTCGCCTTTACAACTGCCTGAACTCTTAATGGCATTGTTTACCCAAAGATGGCACATTTGAGGAGAAAAATATACTTTCCCAAATTTCCTGCACGTTTTGTTCCAGCAAATCAAAAATGCTTCGTTTGAGGTGGTTTCTTTAAATATTGACTTCACTTTTATTGCAACACAGTTTCTATAACATCGAGGTGCGGACTACTTGCCCAGGATGGGATACGAACTTTATATGTTATTATTACCGAACCAAATTTTTAGTTGATTTTGCTGAATGGCACGTTGCTCCATCTTGTTGGAAAAAATAAGTGTCTTCGTTTGGAAACAGTTCTTGAGCACTAGGCAAAGGTGAGGTCTCAAGTACATGTTGATATTTTTGGGAGTAAACAGTGCCATCTATAAAAATTTATGTTTGCCAAAACCTTTTGCTGACATGCAACCCCATAATCCCCTTAGGAAATTTAACCCTCTTTAAGCAATCTTATACTGAGGCTTTCTGCTTTATTTCGTGTTATTCGTTTTCGATGGTCTCCAACGCAAACATCAAAATTAGACTCATCCCTAAATATGACCTTATTCTCATTTTGTGGGTTCACCGGATAATTTAGATTTTGCTCAATTGTAGCGATTTTTCTTTTGAATTTCTGTCAGTAGCGGGTTTTTGTTTGGCCTAAATAAGAATTTGTATCTTCAATAATCTTCAGTAATTGATTTCCAGCACAAAATAAAGTTTACCTTGTAAAGCCCCAGACCGATTTATGGATATATTTTCGGAACATTCTCTTGATATATTTAATCCAGTTACAGCATTCCATTTAACTGTTACTTCGCGAAGTACTTCTTCTCGCAGACTTGCAAATTTTTAGCTAAATTTCGTAAAATCTCTCTGAAACACAAACTTTTGGCCTTCCCGAACTTTTACCTCTAACGTCTTCATTTTTGGTTTTAAAAAAAAACGTTTATTTTTATTATATTAAGACCGTGGTTTTTGGAATACTTAGATCATCAGAAATTTTTCGAATTGATTTTCCCGTACTGTATTGACGATTGATAATTTCGCGTAGTTTTGATTTGTAGCTTTTCCACGTACCATTACTTTGAATTAAATTAACAATTGAAAATTTAAAAAAGTAAATTACTTACAGTAAATCTCACTACTCAAAGTATCGAGTTACTTACAAGCTGTCAATGCTGAAATAAACAGTTTGCGACATTTGTGACGTTTCTATTTAGCAAAGCGCCGTATGATATATTAATTATTTAAAAATGCTTGTCCCAACATTTTGTTGTCAGCAAATTTGTCCTTTATGAACAAAATCCGCTACTGTAAATATGGAATGATTTACAATTCATAAAAAATATTTGTCAAGTTAGTTAGGGTATATGGCTATGTTTATATTTAAAAAGAAATAAATTTATATTTTTCAGTATTTTTTTTTATTTACTATTTTTATTGCAAAGAAAGACCTTGTCCCAACATATAGTTGTTAGGGCTCGTATATGAAAGAGTAATTATAAAAAAAATAAACAAAAACTTTTTATTATTCTTTTTGTTCTGATTACATTAAACTACTATTGAGACTTCTTGGTGTTGGAGATCTAGGTCCCGTGTACTTGTGAAACACAGATGAGAACATCACAAGTAGCTTATGCTCTGCATACAGGGTGCTACAAATTCGGAGTACGAGAATTGGTATCTCGGTAACCGTAATAGATACAAAGATGGTTAAATTTGGGCAAAGTTGCGCCTTGGGATGTTCCAAAAATTTTTGATGGCATTTTGGTGATTTTATTTTCATATTTTTATAACGTGTAATGTATCTGACATCGCTGGATACCATACATCTATTGACGATCAATGAAAATTAATTTCTCATTGTTTTGATTACCTAATTCAAATCCGTCTAAAACATTATTTATATCTCCGTAGTTTGATGAAGTGGTACTTATAGAAATTAGACGTGTACAGGGTGTGTCAAATTCGATGTTTAAATGGGAAACACCCTTTTTATAGGACATAGACGAAAATTAATATAGGTATCTGGAGCTCAAATTTTATAAAATCTGATGGTTGAAAACGCACCACGTCTAATAATCTGTTTCATCTGCTCGTTTCGGAGTTTCGGGGTGTTTTTCAAAAATTTTTTTTTATAATTTTTAATAAATCCCTGTAACTTTTTTTGCTATAAAAAAAAAAAATTTTCAATTTCTAATAAAATATTTCCAAAGCCCCTTTTTACGTAGAATTAATGGTTTAGTAAATTTTTTTAAATTAACTAATTTTACGAGTTATCAACAGAAAATTGATTTTTTATTTGGGACACCCGTCTATTATTTAATTAACTGAAAAGAATTTAAATTCATTTCAAAAATATATTTCACCCTATATTCATTTTGTTATATGCCTTCAGAAATACGAATTTAAAAGTTCGCCACTTTAATTAGTAGGCTTTTGACCCTTTATTGATGACATGCCCTTAATGGAACTCGAAAACATTTTTTCAGCAAGACGACGCAACGCCTGCTGACGCTTTGAAATTTTTTTATCAGCAAAATTTTTACGGCAATTTCAAGAGAATAATTGAATAGCTACCAAGATCCCAGCGTTGGCCGTCGAGGGCGCCTGACTTAGTGCCAATGGGAGGTTAATCATAATGGATAATATTTGCGGAAGAATAAATGTTCCGTATTCTTCGGATTAATTTGACAAGAATTAGAAAATAGTAGCAATTATGAAGAGGTTATCTTTCACCCTACTGAGTTAATGGATTCCGCAAGAAATGTTCAAAACGCCCCGTCTGTCCATAAAGCGGTCGAAAGACGGTCGATATGTCGAACACCTGTAGCAACATTTCGCATGTCTATTGGTTTGCTATTTTATTCCTTTATTTGTTCATCTAGATATAGTTTAAATGTGTGGATGTATGATTAAATATATTTTATAATTGTTTATAAAATTCTGTATCTCTCATTGCAAATTTATTTTCGTTTTTAATTGATTTGCTCACGTCTAGGAATGTTTTTTGTATTACAGTCGGTGCGCTTCAATAAACGATAAAAATAAAAAAGTAAAAAAAAAAATATTTTATATACTCTATATCTCGAAGAGGAATCGAGCAAAATATTAAGTGTGTTATATTTTTGGAAAGGTAATTTTAAATTCTTTTCAATAAATTAAAAATATACAGGGCGTCCCATATAAAACATCAAATTTTCTGGTGATAATTCTTAAATTATTAATTTTAAAAAAATTATACTTAAACCATTAAATTCTACGTAAAAAGGTGATTTGGAAATGTTTTCATAAAAATACAACATTTTACATAGCAAAAAAGTTACAGAGATTTGTTAAAAATGCACATTTTTGAAAAACACCCCGTAACTCCGAAACGGGAACAGATATTGATGTGCGGTTTTCACCATCATGTTTTTGACAAAAATTGAGCTCCAGACACCGATATTAGTTTTTGTCTATCTCCTATAGAAAAGGGTGTTTCCATTTAAAAGCGTCGAATTTGACCCACCCTGTACAGATCCCTGCTTTCTAATGCAACTTTCCTGTCTTCTTTTTCTCTTCTGCACCATGCATCCCTCCACTCCATCCGGGCTTCTTTAATCTGGAAAATGGTTCCTCGATACCCTCAGGCCGTCCGCGTCTCGATCTGATAGAGTCGCTCGCCTCGAAACCTCCTCGTAATAGCTCTATATTTGAATGTACTGGCGAAACTTTTCGCTGACGTCTTATCCCGCTAACGTGCATTATATAAAGTTCCATTGTGGAGGAAAGTTGCATAAATGCACCGTTTTTCCTTCTAAAGGTATCTATCTATCTCTCTCCGAGGTCGGTTGGCGATAAGAACGTAGAGAATTGGAAAATGGAAAAATGCGGATGACAGGCGAATTATTTAGAGTAAATAAAATGAAATGGATCTAAGATAGATTTTATATTGTTGACTAGCGTGTACCCGCGACTTCGTTCGCGTCGAATTAATCATTTGTAATGGTGATGATAAAGCAAAGCAAGAATTTCCACTAACATACAAACTAGATAAAATTTTCTCACATTTATGTCAGCATGTGAAAAAACAATATGGCGATATTATTATATAACTTGGTAATATTTGAGGGGTAGTTTCATCTCGTTGGAATTTGACTTTCGAAAAATCCGTGTGCCAAAAATAAGCTTTTTACGTCAAGCAGTTTAAGTAGAATCGTGGTTAATCAATTACCCAACTTTTTGGAACACCCTGTACGATTTTATAAAAAAATTCATAAAAAAACAAAATAAATTATGCGTGTCCAAGCGTTTTCCCGAAAGACTAACCGTTTTTTAAATAACAAATATTGTAATATTTGAGGGACGTTTTCACCCTCTTAGAATTTGAGATTCGAGAGCCCCCTCCTTATCGAACCTCTACACCCCACAGTTAATCCGTTTGCCAAAAATCAGCTTTAAACGTCAAGCAGTTTAAGCAGAATCGTGATTACTCAATGGTAATATTTTATGAAACACCCTGTATATATTTATACAAAATCTTAAAATATGTAAAACAACAAAATAATATATACGTGTTTAAGAGTTTTTTCGAAAAACTCACCGGTTTTTAAATAAATAATATTCTAATATCTTAGGGGTGGTTTCACCCCCTTAGAATTCGAGTTTCGAAAAATCCCTTCTTATCGAACCTTTACACCCTAAAATCAATCTGTTTTCCAAAAATCAGCTTTTTACGTCAAGCGCTTTAAGCAGGATCGTGATTAATCAATGACAAGATTTTTCGAAACACCCTGTATAGATTTTTAAAAAATCTTAGAATATGTAAAAAAAACAAAATAAAATATACGTGTTTAAGCGTTTTTTAGGAAACTTGACCGTTTTTTAAATAAAAAATATTGTAATATTTGAGGGGTGGTTTCACCCCCTTGGAACTGGAATTTCGAAAAATCCCTTCTTATCGAACCTCTACACCCTAGAATCAACCTGTATGCCAAAATTGAGCTTCTTACGTTGAGTGGTTTGAGCAGGATCGTGATTAATCAGTAATTCAGTCACTTAAGGATTTTATATATTAGTATAGTTTGTTTTTGTCAATAAAACAATCTCTGAAATCAATACTTTACTTAAAAATATTTAGCTCATAAAAAAATAGAGATAATGGGATAATTCAAAAAATTAAATAGTAGATTTTAAATGACTACATCTAAGATTACAGGAAAGTGTTTTTTATCCAAAATTCCCGTCTCATTTTTTCCACAGGGTGTTTTGAATTTATTGCAAAAAACAATGTTTTGATTAGCGGTGGGAACTATCGAATGAAATAGACTATCGAATGGTTACTGAATGAATGATTTCAACTATCGAATGATAAAATCATTCATTCATTTGTATACTAAAGCATATGTGACAACCTCGCCGTGCGACTAAATGGTTATCGTTGAGCCACGACTATCGAATGCTTTTGATAAATGAAATTTAGTATTCGTTTGATTTTTGTGTGCGTCAGTGCATTATTAGTTCTTCCAAATTTTTATAATTTCGCCTTGTAAATACTATGCTATTTTTGCGTTTATTAAAATATTTAAAATACTAAAATAGTAGTTTTTTTTAATTGACGATTGTGTGCGAAGTGGTCAAAATTTTTCCGAAAATTTGTGTGATTTTCCGTAGCCCCATCTTTCAATTATTTAATTTTATATGGTATATTATGGTTAGGTTAGATTGCATTTTTTTAATGGGAAATTTTGAGAAGTAGCAATTTTTAAGAGAGATGAGACGAACTTGCAATTAATTTTAAAAATACATATTTGTATTTTAGATGTTTTAATATGTAATATGAATTAGTTGAACTTAATAATCATATTTAAGTAATGTGGTTAAGTAAATGGTTATCGAACTCAAATTTTAGGGTGAGAAAATTAAATTGAAAGTTTTACACGTGGCAATTTAAAAAAAAAGTTAACAATGTTTGTATTTTGTTTATGCTAATTCTCTTACATGTAGTTTTTTGCGAAGAAATATTTCATTTATTTTTTAAAGTAAATGCCAGTAAAAGTAAATATTATTTTTAAATAGTAATATAAAGTAATAAAAAGTAATATAAATAATTTTGATTTCTAATTTTTTATTTATATTTTCCTTCCATTACACTGCATGCTTAGAAAATGAATAAATGCTTATATTTCATGATTTTAAAATTTGTTGTTAATATAACAAATTAGTTCTGTAATTATTATTATTTAATAAACCAACGTTGCCACATTTAGCGACTATATTAGTTTTAAATAGGATCTAATATAAATACTTTTGACTTCTATTTGTTGTTTATATTTTGCTACTACTTAAAAAAAAATGTTTATATTATTAAATGATTTTAAATTTTGTTGTTAATAGGTATAACAAATTATTACTGTTATTATTATTTATTAAACCAGTCTTTGCTTAAAAACATTAAAAATCATTTTCCTACATCCAAAATAAAAAGTATTATTGCAGTGTAACAACAGAATATGAATAAAAAAATGCAAAACATTAGACATACTATCCCTAACTAACTAATGCTAAAGAATAATATTCTTTGCTAATACCAACTAATACGAATATATGGCAACAGCATAATGTATTTTCTGTGTAAATACTAGCACCTCAATAAAAAAATAATGTGTCCTTATCTTTATTTGACTCCGCAAAAAATCAAAGATGCCGGCTTCTTTCATAGCATTGCCACCGACCGCCTGTCGGGTTTCTAGGAAAGAAACCTACGTCGCCGGACGACAACTAAAATCCAGTTTATATTTTATTAAAATCGATCCTGACGAATAAATTAATTTGATAAATGAATGAATTTTATAAGTGAATGGTTTTTGCTGCCGAATTACTAGAATACAATATTTCAAGGCAGATGACGCATCTATTCGATAATTTTTATTCGAATAGTTTTCGACGAATGTTTTCTTATTGGCTATCGAATTGTTCGAATGAATTGCGACTATCGAATGTTTCGATAGTATTCATTCGATAGTTCCCACTACTAGTTTTGATTCCCACCTAACCGAACAATATAAGCCATTAAAATAATAAAAAATATTGCCAGTAAATTTATCTTCACACTGATGCTATAATCATTAAAATTGGATTACAAAAAAAAATTATGAAACATCAAACTTTTAGGGTGGCGGAATTTTGTGCCCTGGAGTATATTTGTATTAAATTATTGTAAAATTTCAAAATTCATCAATTTTTTAACCATATAGTAATTAAATCATTTATTGTCAATTTACTACGCGCTATAGATCCAACCCTGGTCGGTTTGAGCCTAACTTTTCAACTCTAGGCGCGATACTTTTGTTACGGCACTAAGGACGATAAGAAAACTCAATTATAATAAATTCGGGAGCCCTGGTTCGCCCAGCGTTCCAGAACTTTATTTCTGTTGGATAGACGACGTGAAAAATGTATTTGCATAAGTTTGGAGAGGCTGGAACGGCATGGAGAAGGCCGAGGCGACAATGGATGGAGGAGAATATGGAGAAATCTGGATATCAGTACGAAAAACGCCCCGAAAATGCGGACGAGATGGTAGATAAGAAGAATGGGAAGAGAGTGCCTCGGGATATCTGTATTTCTTTCAGCTTAACTTCTTTTAGAATGAGACTGAGATATATAAAAGCATTTTAATGCATAGTAAATTTCTTTTAAATAAGATGGCCCGCTTCTAATTTCTTTCTAATGAAGAAACTTTGAAGTTTCTATCAAATTAAAAAAAAAATATATAGTTTCCTTAAACCCTACCTACTTTTTGTCTAAAATGATGGTATTTCTCAAGTCTCCAAATCGGAAAACATTATCCGATACAATAAATGCCTTTATTGTCAAAAAATTGTACAATTTGTAGACAACGGTCAAGTGAACAAACAAAATAAACAAACAAACAAAAGAGAGAAGAGAATACAAAATATTATACAAATAACATTGTCAGTCTTACTGTTTAAAATAAACATTTATAAATGTTTACAATGTCAAAGAATAAAAAAATAAAAATAAGATTCAAAAATATTTAGTAAGTTTATACTAAATATCAATGACCTCTAGATAAATCCATTTCGATGTCATTGGTAAATACAGGGTGTCCCAGAAATAAGTGCAAATATTTTAAGGGGTGGCAGATCTCGATAAAAGAAACATATTTTCTCTTTATCGTCCAAAATAACGAAGTTATTTTACTTTGAAAATTTCCGAAAAAAATGATTTTTTGCTAAAATTTTGAGAACCACTGGATCTTTTCTGGATTTTCTTTCTTGTAAATTTAATCTAATACCTATGTTATCAAGAAATTATGTTTTTTAACTAAAAACTAAAAAAAAATCCAAAAAATTTCGAATTTTCAAAATTTTTTTTTCGCGAAAAAACCTCATAGGCGTGTTTCTGGGGTTGAACTATACTACCAGTTAAAATATTTGCACTTATTTCTGGGACACCCTGTATAGTAATAGCAAACATTAGACCAGTGTTTACCAGATCAAATTCAATTATCAAAATATAAGTCATTTACGTCTCTACTAAATAAGATTTCAATGGTTTGCGAAATGAAGAAAATGATGTTATGGATTTGATTTCAAATGGCAGGTGATTGTGCATTTTGTTCGAGTTGTATAATATTGAACTTTTAACTAACTCTGAGCGTGGGGTAGGTAGATAAAGATCTTGCTCCGCGTTCCTGAGTGGATAAGTGTCAGCTGGCCTTTCTTGAGAAGCTGATACATGCTTACGTATTAGGCAAACGGATTCACAAATATAAATAAGAAAGGAAGAGTTAATATTTTTAATTGTTTAAAAAAGTCCTAGCAACGAGTTCTGCTGTTTAGTCCCAGTGAATATCGAACAGCTCTCAGGTTGGATTAAACTTGACAAAAAAGCGTCAAAACATCCACTATCGTACGATTTTTTTCCGTTGGCGGATAGGAGTAAAAAAATTACGGATGAAAAGTGGCGTGAAAACGCTATGGCCAATCAAAGCACCTTAGGACCATCGTATAAACGGATAATGAACGCATGAAAAACAAGCTTTATCCTGCAAAAAATTATTCTCACCTCCACCTTTCCCCGCAACGCTGTACTGATACACGTGCAACGTGAAAAGCAGGTGGGAATCCCTGCAGTCATCCCTGGTGGCAGGACTGCGACCTTCCAGGGCTGCATCTAAGTAATGTGCGGCTTTTTCCGCAGAGGGCACTCTCAGCTCGCAGTGAGGAGGTTGGTTGCCGAACAGGGGGTCGTCGCGGAGGTACATGCCAGGTGATTGTTCGGAATCTGAAAGGAAGAATTAAATTTTAAGACAATAAAATTACGTCTACAACTTACAAACTATTGATTTACTGTACAACTTAAAAAATAATCGAAAAATAAGTGTCTTAATTTATGTACTCGTATTTAAAGAAGCATAGTTTAACTAACTCTGCTAGTTTTTCCAGTAATATTAACCCTTCTTCGTGTCTGTTATTATCTAGATCGGGACACTGTCGCAAAACAAAATACAGCAAACTTTGTAATTGTAGGTTAATGAAACAAAACAAACCCTAACTGTGACATTCTTTCACCCCAACAGTAGGCATGCTAAATGTTCCGAGGTCGAAATATCACCCATTTTGTATATTAATACGGTTAGGAGCCGTTTTAGCACTGCGTTACGATATTTCCCAAAAGACAGTGTAATACAGGAATCACTTGTTATACGCGACTTATTTTACGCGGTTTACTTATACGCTGTTTTATTAATTCGATACTAGATATAAAGAACTTAAAGACGGCGTCCATTCTTCTCGAAGATACCTGGTTTAAATTAAAAAGAAGACGAAAGGAGACTCAATATCTCGGTCTCAACGCTTATATTATGTACACGAACAGCAGAGGCTCAGATGGGCACCAAAACTGTAGCTGTTAAAACAACGCAAGGAACTCCACAAGGTGGAGTAACCTCCCCTTTGCTGTGGAGCTTGGTGGTGGATGAACTACTAGATGAATTAACTCTAGCGGGAATACACTGCATTGGGTATGCAGATGACATAGTCATGATCGCTCGGGGAAACATGAAGGCACCTTGTGTGATATTATCCAAAGAGGACTCCGTATCACTGAGAGATGGTGTAGAACTGTCGGGCTGAGTATCAACTCAGACAAAACCGCGATAGTGCCATTCACCAGAAAGCGAAGTCTGAAAAACTTGAAAAGAATCCAACTAGATGGAAAGGAAATACTGCCAACACAGGAAGTTAAATACCTGGGAATAACCCTGGACAGTAAACTCCTGTGGAACAGGCATATTAAGAACACTACCAGCAAAGCCATAAACGCTCTCATGATATGCAGAAGACTGGCCGGAAATAGATGGGGCTGCTCCCCTAACATTTTGCGCTGGATGTATACCATGATAGTAAGACCCATGATTACTTATGGAGCAGTTGCCTGGTACACAAAACTAGAGCAACGGACGGCAAGGTTAAACCTATGCAATGTCCAGAGACTAGCATGCGTTTGCATCACAGGAGCCATGAGAACCTGTCCAACAGCAGCAATGGAGATCATTCTAGATCTAACACTACTGCACATTGTCATAGGTAGATATGCCAATGCGACAATGATTAGAATGGTCACTAACGGAATTAGTACTGGGAGAATTGTCAGATCAGGGGCTTGGAACACCCTCATACCACTCCTGCAACTCCCAGTGGACGATATGCCAAGAACATACAACTTTGAGAAACATCTCAATGTAGTATTGAGCAATAAAAATGATTGGAAGAGCGAAACGCTTGCCCAGCAGTTAAAAGACCATACCATAACTTGGTATACTGATGCTTCCAAAACCAATACGGGAACAGGGATCGGAGTGTTTGGGCCGAGAGCTAAATACTCCGAACCAATGGGCACTTACCCTAGTATCCAACAGGCAGAAATCTACGCTATCGAGAGATGCGTACAACTTATCTTAGATAGGAACTATCGGAAACAAGAAATAGCCATCTTGTCTGATAGTCAAGCAGCGTTAAAGGCGATCAACTCAGTATAAATCAATTCGAAATTGGTCAAAGAATGCATAGAGAAGCTGAATAAATTAGGCAAAGAAAACAAAGTCCTCCTACACTGGGTGCCTGCTCACCAAGGGATAGTAGGCAATGAAAAAGCAAATAATCTAGCTAGGAAAGGAGCGAACACTCCACTAACTGGACCAGAACCGTTCTGCTTTCCAAGTGGTAACCAACTCAAGGCGGAACTCAAGAACTTGGAAGATTCCATCCGCAACCTGGAATGGAAATCTTGCAACGGTCTAAGACACTCGAAGAAGTTTCTGAGGGCTTATGATCAAGAAAAATCACACATCTTCCTGGGTTTACGTAAGAACAATCTTCGGATTGTCACGGGGTTTTTAACAGGACACTGTCTCCTCAATGAACACCTCAGTAGATTGAAACTAAGAAGAAACGGCGAATGCAGATTCTGTGGGGAAGATGGGAAAACACCAGTACACCTCATCACTGAGTGCGCCGAGACGACAACCATTCGTGCCATGAATTTTGGTACGACTGATATTGGAGATGGAGAGCTACCCTCTATAAAACCGTCCCAGATACTGGCTTTTGTCAAAGCCCTGGGACTGTATGATGAGTTATGACTCAAGAAAGGGGGACACAATGGATCTGTAAGGTCGCAGTGATTAACCTCCATCCCACTCATTCTAAATTCTAAAAAAAATTCTTAAGCCGGTCCTTCGCGATTGAGCGCTTTGACAAAGTTCTTAGTAAGGCCAAGTTTAATGTGAAGAGGTGGCAGTAAAACGTCCTGTGGGTTTACAAGTGGTACAGAGAACACAAGTTGTTGTCCTGGATCATAGTGGGTACGACTCGGTCACACCGAAAACTAGAGCCAATCTTGACAAACGGATTGAAGATCTGTGTACAGGGCATCAAATAACGTTAAGAATCGTTCTCATCTGCTCGGGTTCAAAAGTTGACCCGACTGTAATTTCTGAATATTTATTATATTATTATATATATATTATTACACGACGATAAAATACCATTTTATCGCCTTGTATAAAAAATAACTATTTTCTTGAAATAGACTCAAGAACAACATTTTTAAAAGAGACCCTAGAACTTCTTTTCAGTAACTTTACGTAGTGCTCTATCTATAACCCTACTCAAAACAACCTTCACCGTTCTAGTAGGTATTTACTACCGTTAGTTTAGCGAATCGGGTGTTCCGGCATCACGCCAACGTGTCATTTCAGAGGCGGACTCGAATTTGTAACACGAATAGGTGAAAACCGACATAGCGGAAGAGAGAAAAGGATAGGGAAAGTAGGAGAACAAGAGGGGAGACTTAAATATAAACAAAGGTGGGTGATGAATTACCTATCAGGAGGACTACACGAGCCGATCGCTCACACGGTGAGCAGTCTAGCTGAAGGAAAGCTGGGGAAAAATCGGACAAGAAATTGGTCTAAGGAGGGAGAAATTGTTTTAAAGATAAAAATAAGGAGATTAACTATTAGTAAATTAAAAATAGAATGAATGCTTAAGTACATACAGTAGTGGCCAAAGTATGGAAACTTTTTTAATTTGTCATTTATGTTGAGAAATTAAAATATGAAATAAAACGACTTATATAATCGTGACCTACAAATAATTTCCTACAAAACCTAATACATTTAAATAAAAAATTACAGCTATCAAAAAATATATAAAAAATTATGAATATTTTCTTGGTCAAAAGTATGGAAACTTAAGAAGAATGTTTATTAAAATTCAAGATAATATAAAAATTACTAATATTTAGTGGAATATCCCTTTGAATTAATTACTTCTCTACATCTTCGTGGCATCGAATCGATCAATCTCGTACAATTTTTACTGGAAGTGGCCGCCCATTCAGTTTTTAGCACTTCTCATAATTCATTTTTATTTGAAATAGAATGGCTTCGAATTTTGCTATCTAAATGGTCCCATAAATTTTCTATGGGGTTAAGATCCGGAGTCTGTGAGGGCCAATCCATTAGTGGAACATTATGTTCATTTAACCAATTTTGAACAAACCGAGATTTGTGCTTGGGATCATTGTCTTGCTGGAACAACCATCTGAGTGGCATTTCTTCATCAGCATGAGGCAGCATATTATTCTCCAATATGTCTTTGTACAAAAAACGGTCCATTATCCCATCAATTTTAATAAGAGGACCAACACCTGAGCGAGAAAAACACCCCCATACCATTATACTCCCACCCCCATGTTTTACTGTGGGCATCTGGTACTTATGGCTGTACCGTGTATGGACATAACGTCTCCCGTCACTACCAAACAGCTGAAACTTGCTTTCGTCGCTAAACAGTACAGTATTCCATTTCTGATAAGACCAGGTGAGATAATCTTGAGCAAATTTAAAGCGGGCCATCCTATTTTTCTTTGATATTAGTGGTTTCTTCACCTTCAGCTCTTCCAAAAAGTCCCATGTCATCCAACCTTCTTCTCACCGTGCGTGCAGACACCGATATTCCCCTTTCACCCATTTCTCGAGAAATGTCTGTGGATGTTTTTCTTGGATCTCCCATTGATATTCCCTTCATTACTTTCATTGTCCTGTTGCACAACTTTCTTGGTCTTCCTGACTTAAAAGCTGTTGAAACGTTTCCTGTTTTATTAAATTTACGAATTATTTTCGAAACGGTGCCTTTTAAAATGTTTAAATTTTTACTTATTTGAATTTGTTTATAACCGCTCTTGTATAATTCAACTATTTTATTTTTCAAATCCGTAGAGAAATATTTAGACTTGGGCATGATGTTTATATTTATCTGAAGCAAATCGTACCGTTTATCAGCTTAAACTAAATAATTTTAATGTATTTATTTATGGTTTCCATACTTTTGGCCACAAGAAATCTATTGCTCTCCTACAAAAACTGCTAAACAGATTTTTTTCGCTGGGTAATTTTTGGAATACTTTTATTTGCTGATAAGCTGTTCATTTATATTCCTGAAAGTTCAAGCATAGCAATATTTTCTGTGATATTTTAAAAAGTAAAAAGTTTACATACTTTTGGCCACCACTGTATATTTAAAAAAGAAAAATATGTTAATACTAAATAATCATTATAAAAAAAACAAACTTTTTTATTTATGTGGTGGGTTCAAAATAAGATTGGTTCAATTGGGTAAATGTCATCAGGTAGTAGAGATGTACGTAATATAGTTTGAAAGAGCATTTGAATCTACTTCGATTTGATTGAAAAGTACAGAGTGTTGTATTAGAAATAA